AGGTTATTCAGTTCAACTAATGGCTATTCCTTTAGATTAAAATTCAATAGAAAGGGATTTTCAGTTTTACACTTTCTGTAATATTTCTGTTTAAAAAACCTACCTAAAAAGGAGAAAAGCAGCACTGGAAAATCCTTTTCGTTTGTATGTTAATACTGTTATTTATATAGTATGATATGTGAATATAAATTAATAACAAAACTTGCGGAATTCGATTATATTTGATTATCATAGGAATACTTTTTAAGTGTCATTAATTAATAAAACTCTGGTATACATTGAAAATGACAAACATTGAACCCACAGAAGCAGATAATTAAAATAATAAAAGCTGCAGACAATTCATATTGTGAGAAAACATAGGACAAAAGGACAGAGAATTTGAATAACAGTCAAAATGTAGTGTTTGTTTAAATGAAAAATATTAAAAACTCAATACATACAAATAAAACAAATGTATGTTCAGCAGAAATAAACAGATATTTTACTATACTCAGATTTATAAGGAGAGTGCTTTTATATAACTTTGTAGCCAAAACTTTACCATATGATAACTTTATAGAATTTTTAATTTCATAACAGATGGCTGAAAGAAAGAGGATTCATGTGAAATCTATTTTATAAACTTTATAAGTTTTTATATACAGAAGCAATTATAATCCAGCAGTTAACAGTTACAATGATGCTTATATTATTAGGTCAATTATATTGCATACTGGAAGATCTGAAGATGTCTGCAGCTTTTATTTAGGTTCATTAATTTATAAATAATTCTTATCTGTTTAGCAGTTTAAAATATGCAGTTTTATACTGCCTCTGTCCCAAATTAGTTGTTACAGTTAGGTCAAAAATTCCGTCCCAAATTAGTTGCCTCATTTTAAGTAGATGGAGTCATAAATAACTTCTGATGCAGTTTAGTAGATCGACGTCAGGAAAATTATACTACGTACAACAATGAATATAACGCAGTATACTAAGCAATGTTAACTTGAATGTGAAGTAATGAGAATAAGAAATAATGTGACTCGACCTAATAAAAAAAGAGATGATAATTCTAATTATGAATAATAATTTTGAAAATACAGTAAAGAAGGAAATGAATAATAAAGAGCATAATGCTGTACTGTAATTTTTACTGCAACATTTGAAAAATGATAAACTAAACCATGGTGCAATGAATGCTGCAGTGATGAAATTTAATGTTCATCGTAGCACAATATTCCGTATGTGGAAGCAAACAAAGACATCAAAAATAAATGATGATAAAATTTACAAAGTAAAAGTTCACAAAAAAATGGTAAATGCGGTTGGGAAAAAAAAAAAAAGATAAAAAGATTTTTCTTAGCAACTGAGCTAAATCAAAATCGTCCCAATAAAACTAAGACAATCACTGCAGAGTTTATCATGCGCTGTTAGTACTTTAGTATTTCCTAAATCAACATTACACACGATTCTCGAGGACAGAACAAATTTGAAGCATATTCCATCCACCATCAGGCTAAGTCTAACAGAAAAAAATAGCTCAACAGAATTTGATTTTGTTTACAGTGTGTTCAAACCAATGAATGCTTTTCCGAAATGTTGGATCATAGTCATATCGATAAAAAATGGTTTTATATTACAAAAACTAATAATTTGTTTTCGATCACCGTAGATAAAGCTAAAGCTTTGAAATATTGCAAAAGGTTTATTACCAAAGTAATGTTTACAGTAGGGGTGGAAAGGCCAAAATGGGACTCCAACAGAAAAGAAATATTTGATGGAAAAACTGGAATACGGCCTTCTGTTTATTCAGAAAATGCAAAAAGAAACTTAAAAAATCGTGAAAAAGGAACTGTTGTGACAAAAGTTGTAGAAGTTGTTGACAAAGAAGAAACCTGAAAAATGATTATAAAAGATGTGATGGGTTATACATGAAAAATTTCCAAGTATTGAAAAATCGAGTCCTATATACATACAACAGGAGAGTGCCAAATCTCATTTTGGACGTGAATGACCTCAGTATCACAGAAGAATGTTTAAAAGATGGATGAAATCTGCAACTGCAATGTCAACCTCCGAATAGTCCAGATTTAAATGTACTTGATCTGTGGTGTTTTAATTCAATATAGTCATTGCAACATCAGATGCTCACAAAGAATATTGCCAACTTAATTGATGCTGTTGAAGTCGCTCTTCAAAATATAGGAGTAAAAAAGATTGACAATGTATTTTTAACTTTACAAACATGTATGGGAAACATTACGATGTCAGGCAGAGGCATACCACACTCATACAAAATAATCCATCTCAATAAGGAAAACCTTCGTCCTCAAAATCTTCTTCCTTGAAATCTGGCATGTAATCTCGAAGTTACAAGAAATTCCTTAAATATCAATCAAAATTGCTTTATTTGCAATTAAAATTATTTCAACTTGGTATTTGCATTCCCGTTTTTTACTTTCCACAAATGTAGCACTTATTTTGGGACAATTTTTTTAAAGCAAATTTACACAAAATGGGAGTCTACCGCCAGTATACCAGAAAAATCTTTTTCTTCATAATGAATTCACAATTCATTAAATAGAGGATTGTTTTATGTGATTACTGGTGAAAGAGACCTTACAAAATGGGGCATGGCTTAACCCCTTCACGAAGGGTGTATCATATATGCATCAGCTTTTTTTTATGAATTGTTTTGATTTTTTCTGTAATGATTTCTAACAGTAATATAATCATAAATAAAAAAAATAATTAAAAATTAAAATCTAAATGCAAAATAAAAGATTTGACTCATCTTGATGAAATGTTGTAAAAAATTTACTTAAATCTATATCTAAACATACGTAAAAAATAATAAAATATATGATCAAATATTATAGCAAAAATGATTCAGAAAGGAGACTGTCATAATCTAGTCACTAGCATTTCATTAGTTATGAAACACATTTTCAGATCAAACGTTTTAATTCCATCCCAGCAGAATAATTAATCCTAGGAATTCCCTCATTTTAGGCACATCTAGAGGAGAATGTTGATTTTGGATGAAGATGGATTTTCACTCATCTTTTGTTCATAGAAATTACTAGTTTCTTCATCTATTATCTTCATTTATTATGTTCATTTGATTTTGAAAAAATGGTGAAAAAAATCAATTTCTTTCACATAACTTTGCATTAAGTTTACTTCTGCAATTGCCATATATTCATAAGCTTCAATTACACTTAACATACCGAGTTCACGACGGGAGTAGCCACTGTTCTGCTGGATTGTGAAGTGAAAGCAAAACAAACTTCCAATTCAGTCTCGGAGGAAATTACGGTATCAAAATTGCTATTCTCACTTAAAATCTAGAGTTTTTATTGTCAAAATAGTCACTCATGGGCTTTACAATTCGAATATACTCTTCTCCTGTTAAAAACTTCTTTCTCTTATTAGTTTAACTCTCTTAACCGGTGCAAAAAAACTTATGTCTGCTATCGAAAGAAGATGCAAACTGAATATAAACTGGAGTTCCTAAAAAGCACAGCTCCACTCCTGATATTCCCACAGGAAAAAAAAAAAAAAATCTGAAGCACCAGAAACTGTTCAATGTCCATCATATGAAGCCAACTGTGCATCAGCTGGGTTTTGTTTACATTATATCATCTGGTTGTACAACTAAACAAATAACCAGAATCAGAAAGTACTTTGCGGACACAAGGTCAACAATGTATATGGTCATATAAGCTAATTGTAATGGACACGAAGGGCCATCTAGTTATTTAAAAAAATTCTATAAAAGAACATGTATGTTTGAGAGTGCATATATGCCAGACACATCTGAAAAATTAATGCAAGTGCAGCACCCAGCTGCTAGTGACATTTGAGACTGATGCATGCATATATGACATACCCATCTGCGGAGGGTTTTTAGTTTAGCAACACACCACTGTGAAAGGGTTTAGAGTGCTAAACCTGAATTTGTTTAAACTGATTTGGTATTGATTTAAGGAGGGAATGCTTGGTAAGTAAATGTTGACTGATACCACAGCACTCCGAAATCTATGAAAAATGTTCAAACAAAATCATAAAATCATCAATACCAATAATCATCAGTACAAAAGTATTCAATTATAGCAACTAATTTGGGACAGAGTGAGTATTAAATATGCACTTTATTCAGATATTCTGAATAACAAGTAAATACATGTCAGAATTTAGAAAAACAGTGAACTAAAAAATTAAATAATATCTTAACAAATGCAGTGGATCAATGAAATAGACTATATTTACAAAAAGGGATTATAATAAGCCTTTGCTACAATCTCAAACAATTACAGAACTAATAGGGTATTAGTTTTGTAGCATACCTTTTTAGCACTCGAATTTCACCAAAAAAAGGGTAGATTCCAAAAACAAAACATGGCTATGTGACGTCATTACAGCTTAATATCCTATGTTTTTGCGATGAGAATGTGGTATGCAAAGGAGAGAAAGTGACATCATTGCATAAAAGGAAATGATGGTAAAGACCTGAAATCAATATCTTTCCATATGTCACAAAAACGTAGAATTTCGCAGACATCTGGGTGTCTAAAAGACATTTCTTTACGATGTTACTCAGGATGCCGGTCCTCTTAAACAAATGACATTAAACTCAAATAATGATATCTATTATAGTCAACATATAAATAATAACAAGTTGATTAATCATCTCTGACCCTTTTTTTCTCTTTTTTTTTCAAGAGAATTAACGAGAACAGGATTTAAGCAAAGCACTAAAAAAGAGCATTAACAAGACTTGATGTAGAAGATCATATAATAGTACAACTGCTTACAAGTCCTAGTGAAATACAATATCAATACTTTACACTTCTGTTGGTACAGTATTTCACTAGTTCTAAGCAAAATTCTGACTCTATTTAAAAAATTTTTTCCATCATATACATTTTGCCAGCTACTATTTTGAAGGTTGGGTTTATATTTACATTTATTTAGTATCATATAAAAGTGATTAAAGGAAAACACTGAACACATACCCTCATAGGATGTATATCTCCATATGGGGGCTTTCCTTCTGCCATTTCCAGTGCTGTTATTCCAAGACTCCATATATCTGCAACACAATCATAACCTATTTCTTGAATGACTTCTGGTGCCATCCAAAAAGGAGTACCAATCACAGTATTTCGCTTAGCCATTGTATCCTAAAAGGTAATTACACAAACATTAGAGAAATTTCTTCAAAATAAAAAAATAATAATAGTAATAAAAACTAGATCTTTTTTTCACATTACCATTAGTAATTTTAACTGTGGTAAATCAATTTAGTAATTTCAACTGTGGTAAATGAGAAAACATTAATATATCAGTATTTAGATATATTAGCAATGCCTCTTAATAACAAGTTTCACTTTACAAAATTCAATAAATATTTCAGTTAAGTGATTTAAATTACTTCATTTATAAAACATATGTAGCTTTCTTTCACATGAAATAAAAAGCTAACAAAGGCAAATAAAAAGCTCTAGGTTAAAACAAATTTCAAAATACTAACAGTCAGCTGTCCCGCAACTCCAAAGTCAGCTAATTTCGCATGACCTTCCGTATTTAGCAAAATATTGCCAGCTTTAATATCCCTGTGTATTTTTCTTCTATAATGCAAATATTCAAGTCCTTTAAGAGTATCACATAGAATAGTTGCAATTTCTTCTTCCATGAGCTATAAATGAGACAAATATTTATAAAAGGTTTAGAAGAAATATGATAAAAGCAGCAGTCTGCATTTAACATCAATCAGGTTTTACATATTAAAAATAAAGACAAGAAAAAAACAATGTTGTAGCTTTACATACTGTTTTCTTCCTTAGGCGCATTATATCCGAAACAGATCCACCACCGCAATATTCCATAACAATCTAAAAGGTTTTTTATGCATTAAATACAGCTACAAACAAGGCTATTTATTATAAAAACACATATATAGTTATGAAAATGTTAAATATTTCAATGACGTAATATTTCCGTCATATTTATCTGTGAACAGAATCAGGGTTTAATTCAGCAACAAGCTACCATAGCAATGCACTGGTATTTTTAAATGAAACTGTATTTTAATTCATTTTTAAATATCTTGATATTTTAAATCATTCTTAAGTATTTCCTATTTATTCTATAACTTTTTATCTATCTCGTTAATTTATTATTTTAATAAGCTTTCCATATTAGTCTTCACTAGGACTATGGCACTGTTAATTAAAAAAATTAAACCCTGGATAGAATAAATTATACTAACCCATAAATCTGTGCCTTTAAAGTAACTTCCATAATATTTGACCACATATGGACTGTCACACTGTTGCATAATTGAAATTTCTTTGATGATTTCCTGAAGATCCGTATCAACAGGTACTTGTTTGATAGCCAAGACTTGACCAGACTCCTTGTGAAGAGCTTTGTATACACTGCCATAGCTCCTATAATGAAAAAAGAAATACAAAAATTACTTGTTCTTTAATATGATGTTTAAAATACATATATGGTAATAATAAAAAACAGTATTAAAGCTTTCTTACCCTTCACCTAATTTGCATATGATATCAAATACTTCTTCAGGCTGCCGCGTCAAACTTTCTTCACTTAATTTCTTTAACTCACTATCAAATTAAAAGTTATGTTATAATCAGAGAAATAAATATGATGTCAATAATCCAAAACAACATACTAACTACAGTTAAATTCTAATCTTTCTTTTAACCCTTTGAGGGGTGGTATATAAAATAATTTAAATTGTGGTACAATTTTGAATGAACTGTAACTTATAGACCCTTAGGACACAAAATTGAGACTTAAAAAAAATTTAGAGTGAAATCCTGAATTTTGAAGGGCTGGTATACATTTTATACCGGTGCCCCTCTATGACATTTTTTTCCCAGGTAGTTATCCGCAATTGTTAATTTTTGTTTCTTCATCTATTTCTGTGAACTTTTGATGTGCATCTATACAGATGGGTGCTTGAGTACAGTTAAGTAAGTCTGAAGGCAAAAAACTTTTAAAATTTTGCTAGAAATTTAAAATTAGAAAATAAAATTTATGTTTTTCGCACTTTGATGATACCACCCAGATGAATATACTTCTGTAAAATATGGGTAAAGAGATTTTAAAAGTGAATTAAATTCAATATAATTATTTTATGAAAAATTTTAGCAAATATGAATGTATTACTGCATGCGGAAATCGTATCATGCTGTAATTGAGCTAGTATAATGTTACAAGATGTTACTCAGGCGAAAAATTAAAAAAAAAAATTAAAATTATGTTATATTTTTAAAGTTATTATATTTTATGCTTTAGGTACTATGTAGAAAGAGTATGCTTCATGCTATGATAGCAAGAATCACCCCCCCACACACACACACACATACACTTTCGATTATCAGGCCCAGTAAGGGGCCCTTTTTAATTTTTTGTAAATATAGTTTGCAATATATCGTTTTGTTCAAGAAGAAAAGCTGTTAGAAAATTTTATTATTTGATACACTTCAAAGCTGTTATTTCTATCAAAATTTTAAAACTCAAATATTTGCCCCATTTTTTCCATTTCCAAAGATAAATAAATGTTTTGCATCTAAAACTGGCTTTAGAAATATTTCCCTCCTTTCAATAGCTGTGAAGACTAAACCATGTACTTGTACCCTAACCCAGAGGGAAAATGTTTCTTGTATTCCATCTGAAATTAACAAAGACTTGAAGAATAAAAGCATGCTTTCAAATCAGCAGTTTTTCCATTGCACTAAGAAATGAACCTAAAGTGAATTTCAATTTCCCGTACATTTAGAGCTTTCCCTCTGTGTGATATTATCACAGTCCCTTTGTAAAGATGGCATGACCCCTGTGTGACAAATTTATTATCCGTCACTCTTTCCATTTCCACAGCATTCTAGGATTTTGGAAAACACGAAATAACAGGTGTGTTTGGGGCTAACAATGCTACATTTAACCCCTACAGTAGTGTAACGTTTTTTGAAGCCAGACGAGTCTTTCTCGTGCAAAAATTAAAATTTTAGCTAAATAGAGACAAATGAGAAACTTGAGTGGTGTAAACAAGGAATAAACAGAAACTAATATACTTGTATTCAGTTCTAGGACAGGTTCAGTAAACTTCCCATACCCTCATGAAAATAATACTGCATCCTAAAGAACTTGCAAATTAATCATAAATAAATTATTACATCATAAACTATTATAATGTAAAGAAATTCTGTCATCTCACTGAGTAGAGAAGGAGAAGCCTGGTGCTGCCATCTATTGGCGAGGTATCCTCAGTAAAGGCGCCAGTACATATTATGTACCGGTATTAAAAATATATACATAATCATCTTTTAATTATCAGTTTTGAATGAAATGCAGTAAAAATAAAAGGTTCAGCACGTGTGCATCATATATTTGAAGATTGTGAATTTTTTCCTATACTCCAATGGAATTTATGAATATTCAAACATGATACCTTTCAAAGAGGTATATTAATTTCACAACTGCAAAATATTGAGCATTTATAGGGTAGTGCCGCCATTTAGAATTAAAAGAAAACAGTGCGAACTTGTGATTACAGCTTTTGGTGTAGAAAAATTAGCATTTTTAAGAGGTTAAAAAATTGACAAACATCTATTATATATTATATACCAGTGCCCTTCAAAGGGTTAAACATATGATGAAATTACATTGCATAGTAAAAATCCTTAAGCTTTCATCGGTATAAAATACAGAAAACAAGGAAAAATATAAAAATTAACCTACCATTTTAAATTAAATAAATGCAAAGATACTCTTTTAATGTCACTAAATACACATGCATTACACAAAACTATCACTGCAGAAAAACAGTTAAATATATATATATATATATAATCTAAAAAATGTGTTATATTATGAATTTTTTTGGGGGGGGAGGGGGTTGATAAAGTTGGATTTAACTTCAACTAAATTTATTGACTGCAGTTTTGCAGTCAATAAATTTTTGCTTTTATTTGAGCTAATTTTTATGTTAAATTTCTTTATCTGTTTACTTATTAAACACAAGCAATCAGTCCTTTAACATGAGTGTTCTATCTAGTTCACAATGAATAAAATGAATCAAATTATATAGTACCTCCACTACCCAAGGCAAATGGGACCATAATCATATTGCATAATCGAAAACTCATTTATCAGAGACTAAATGTTAAATCATGGTAATTTTTCTTTCAACAAGTTTTTCTAAAATTGTTTATTTGGAATTCGAAAAATAACTGCAAAAGTACTAGCATTAACATTTTAACAAACTTCTTTGGTTTACTAAATTCTCCATATCAGATTTTATTTCATTACAAAAATATTTATGAAAAAAAACTAGAATAAACAATTTCCATCAAAATGTAAGCAAATTTTGCAGTTTTATCAAATTTTTATACACTTTTAATTAGATATTTATTTATTTATAAAAAAGGCCTCATAATTTTTTTTGATAGTCCTATAACTCGATCCATCACTGCACTGGCAAGCTACATTTTGATCAATGTAAGATACAAAGAAGCATCAGGATGTCCTCCTTTGCAATCGTATTAACTTTATACATAGGTATCCATGCTGGTTAGAATTAATTTTCATTGACAAAAAATAATACATAACATGCAAGACTATGAAGCTTGTTGATTTAATATAGGGTGGGGCAACCACCCTGTATAAGATTAGTATGGTTCTTTACCGCAGTGGCTGACAGCAGACATATGACTGGAACTTAGAAGAGCTTTGGAGCCTGAAGGTAGATATACAACAGCCAAAAGGTTAAACAACTATGCTGCAGACTTCAACACCTAGTAGTGACCGAGCAGTAAAAACCTCTGAATATTAGTAGTTTGTCAAGTTTCAAATCTCAGCTAACAAACTAGCTATATGGTTTTTCCTACCTATATGTGACATCTATACAAGCTAAGTGCCCCCTTAAAGTCTTTCATGAAAGAATCACTCTCCTTAGGAAAAGACCCCATACCTGCTTCACCATACGCAAAATAAAACCAAAGCCAAAATGGCAAATTTTAACATTTTTCCGTTTCTTTTTCATCCTCAGTTCATTGCAATTTTCAACATTCTCCAGAACTTCACTACAAATGATTTCTTTGTCACTGTAAACTGAAAATTTAGTTTGCTGTTTTTTATATTTATCCACTCCAAAACATCAACGTTTTATCCTTTGTAAAAGATCTATGAATTACCAGCATTGCTTTCATCTTTATCACACGTCAGACACATTTTTGTAACATAATGCACAAAAGGAAGGCCATTAAATGTCCCATTAACTAGGAAGAAAGGCATAAAAATCAAACCACTGATAAAATTTTAAAATGCTACTAAATTTTGTTATATGGAACAAACATGGGAAAACATGTTTTTACTGTTTCTTCAGACTGACTACTGGCTTGGTAGATAAAGACCTTAGCTGAATGAAATAATTAAAGGTTCTACTGTAGCTACATACAATTAAATTAAAACTTATTAAGTACATATCAGATATGACTTGAGAGATATTTGCTTCTTAGAATGTGCTGACAAAAAAAATTTCATGAATTAAATTACTTGCATGTTCAAAAACATTTTATTACAGTTTATTAACTGTCATAACCCTTTATTAAGAAAATCATTTCAGTTCAATTGTTTATAACTATTCACTTCATTAAATTGTCAACTTTGAGATTTATTTACTGCATTTTAAAAAGTTAAACTTATAGCATCATTATGAAAATAATGAGTACAAAGTTAAATTCACTGATAAGCAAAGGTTGTAAGTGACAAGAATTTTCCTACTTTTCAAATGTTAGGCAGTTTGCTTTATGTTCAATACTAAGAACAAGGAAGCTCTAGGGTTTCTAAAAAAAAAAAAAAAAAAAAAAAAAAACTCATATTTTTTTTAATTTAAATTTTTATTTTATATATTTAGTTTTAAACTTACAGTATGTTTTAAAAAATAAAGAAATCTATTAGAATTTTACTAACATCAAATATTGCTACAAAGAGTTATTACTCTAGTAGAGATTGGTGTTATATTAAAAAAAAAATAAAGATGTTTAGGAATAGGCTATATTAAACAAAACATATAAAAGTAAAAATGCTCAAAAAGCAGAATTTATTTTTAAATGTTTTACAGAAATGTGCCAAAAATGAGAATTTCTTGTATTTTTTTTAAAAACTGCGTCTAAAATTTTAATAGGCCTTCTGGACAACAGAAATTTTTCAGGAACTCCATTTAAGATGAAAGAAAGAACCACTAGATAATTAAAAGTTTTACAATAAATATTTAAAGAAATTAAATAAAGTCATTTTTCATTTTGCACAGTTTTGGATATTATTTTATAATTATTTAGTGAATATTTAACAAATGCAGAATTTCAATTAATTTCTCTATTCCTATTTATCATATCATAAACAGCCATAAATACATACCATTTCTTTAAACATAACTTAAATTTGTATTGAAATGAATTTTCAAAATTGAGCTACCACTTTACAACAGTCCCAATATAATAAACTTTTCTAAATACCATTACAGATTTAGATCAGCAAACTATTACATTTCCCAGAATTTTTTTTATGAGCTTGGACAGAATTATTAATTTTTACTTTT